GAAATGTAAAGCCTGTATGTGGTTATATTTATATTGTACTGGAAACTAAAATAAGACACCTAAGCAGTATATAAAGAAGAAACTGTGCACTCTGATGCTTTGGCTGTTGATCCTCTGTGGGCATGTCTACATACTGCGTTAATGTGCATTAGCATGTCTACACGTTTGCTAATGCGACTTAACTATTTGCACATAAATTTGATACCTGCTTTAGGTATCAAATTTAGGTGCGAATAGCTTAAAATTGCCATTTTTAAGGTGCATTAAGGGTGCTCACATGTAGATATGTGCCCTTAATGTGTCTTAAATTGGGCTAATGAGCATTAAATGCACATGTGTAGCCGTGCTCTGTTAGTACGTGGCATACAATATGTCATGATATGTACTAAAACTCAAGTGCCTTTACTGCTATGTCTGCCCCCTGCCTTCCACGTGTGCTAGGAGACTGTCATGTTGCTGATGGTTTTTGTCTTACAGATCTCTCTCTCCAGAGTTACTCATGAGGGTCTGAATATTTCATCGGCTCTGCATGTTCATTTATTTTTGAGTGTTTTCCTGCAGAGATAAGAATCATGACATTTCTGCATGAGGAATGTGGTTACAATTTCCTGTGTTTTTCAGGAAACATGAGGGAGTCAAATTGTACTTGTCATAAGCTTTCAACCTGAAATCATCAGCTGTGAGGAGTCTGGCTGATAGTCCGTTTTAGCTGGGGGACATAACATAAGCATGGTCTTTATCTGATTTGTCCTTATCCAGCCTGTTCTCTTAAATGGAAGGCTTTTATATATGTTAGTCTTCCTCAGAGAAACAAATATTTATCATTCCTGGCCATCATTTAAAACTGTTTGGGATGGAACAATTCAATTTAGGGAGATGTTGAAATTTTACGTGACCATCATAAAAACCTCAACTAGGTAACTGAGCGAATTGAATTTTGAAAGTTGGTACTGAAGGCTGCTTGTACACACCACAGGGGTTTACTTTGGTTTAATTCTCCCTAAATTGAAGCGGTGGGTTTTTAAAAACACTGCTTCAATTTAGGGAGAGCTAAACCAAAGTAAACCCCTGTGGTGTGTACACAAGGGTCAGGCCCGATTCTTACCTGCCTACCAGGGAGTTGGGGGTGGGGAGGGTGGGGTGAGCTGCCAGTGGGCCAAGCGGTCCCTGAGATGTGGAGGGGCTGGTGCTTCCCTATGCAGCAGTGGTGGCAGCTCCCGCCCGCAGGCACCTGGCCTGGGCGGTCCGGGGGGGGCCACTGCAGCCACGGAGGGAAGCACTGGCCCCCCTGCCTACAGCTGTGAAGGGAAACACCAGGCCCCTGCGTGGCTCAGGCAGGCTCTGGGGAGAAAAAAAAAAAAGATCAGGCTCCCTGCTTTTATTTGCTTTTTTTTTTTTTCTTCAGTGGAGCCTGCCAGCACAGGCTGCCTACATGGCCCCTGAGTTGTACAGGGCCTGGTGCTTCCCTCTGCGGCTGTTGCTCTTTGTTAGGTAGCAAGCTGAAACACCTTGGACGTGTTTTATTTTGCTTTGTCCCATAGTCACTTAAAGCGCAATATGCTGCTGACAGTATAATGGCTCTGCTATTTAAAGTGCAATACACTGCCAACAGTGTAAACAGCAATGACGTTAAAGCGATGCAAAAGGGCATTTAAGCTGCTTTAAAGGCCAATTTTGTGGTGTGTACAAAGGCCTGAAGTGTTCTTCTCACCCTAGATTTAAGCCTGAGAGTCTCAAGTCATTGAAGATTGTATAAACTTCCAAACTGAAATTTCATGGACATTAGGGCTGGAAGGGACCTTAAAGTCCAGCCCCCTGACCAGGAAAGTCAGCTAGGGTCAAAGGATCCCAGCAAGATAAGTATTCAAACCAGGTATTAGTCCAGAGTAGGTGCTTGCACCACCTTGGGGGCTCAGACAGTAAAGACATTTTTCCTTATGTACAGCCTAAAATGGTCTTATTGAGGAGTTTGACCGTTAGTCCTTGTTATCCCTTGGGGTGCTCTGGTGAACAGGCGTTCCCCCAGATCCTGATGTATACCCCTTATGAACTTATAGGCAGTCACCAAGTCCCCCCTGAGCCTGTGCTTTTCCAGGCTGAAGAGTCCCATGGCTCTCAGCCTCTCTTCATAAGGCCTCTCTTACATAGGAGTGTGTTGTGAACTTTTAATGTTATATTCAGTAAAGTTATCATATTTTAAGTAATTATTATTTGAAGTAAATGTTAGTAATCAGTAATCACAGTGACTTTGGCCTGCCACAAGATACAGTGTCTTGCAGTAGATGCTAGTAAAGAAAAATAATTAGGTCAAATCCTGAAGCTTGCCTTCCTATTGCTTAAACAACTGTAGTAGGAGGTTTGTCTGAGCAATGACTAACTAAAAAGAAAGGAAAGAGGTGAGGGGATGGCCCATTGCAGCTATTTAGAAAAGTTGAAGCATTTGTTACACTGCTTTTGGTGTAAGGCCAGATTTTGATCAGCCATTTTATACATGCAAAAAACATGCCAGTCCTTGTTCAGCTCTTCAGGAGTGTGCTACAATAACAGTCCTTGTACTCTCTGTGTTCTGGAAAATAGGTCAGAGATTGGCTGTTTCTATTTCTTCCCTGTGGAGCAACATGCAAAAATAATGAGTTGGGTAGAATTGTGCGTGGTGCATTACTGTCAAGGGATCTGACCAAACTTGTTAATTCTCTATAGGAACAGGAATAATTTTACCCACTGCTGAAGTACAGTCACCTCTGATGTGCAGCGTGCATTGTTTACAAGACATTGAAATGTTAACCTACAGTTTAGAACAGGAAGTGAAGAGTAAGGGGCCAAATCCTGCTTACATTTGAAAGTGTGCAACATTGCACTGGTGTGCCTGAGAGTAGATTTTGGTTAACCGTGTCTCATTAAAGCTATCAGGTGGATTTAAGTAGGAAAGTGGGTAATTACACCTGTGAGGGTCAGTCTTTTCTGGCAGGAGTGACCCAAATTAGCCCTGTACCTTCCTCAAGTGCCACTCTAGTCCCCTTCTACCCAACCTGCTGTTCTGCTTTCTGCTCCCTGCCTCTGCCACGTGCCCCCCACACAAGCTGTTAGTGCCTCAGGTTGGCCATCCTTTATCTACATTGAGCTGTTTCAGAATTTAGGACCTGTTAAGGCTCTCTCAGCTCTAGTTACAGTCACAGTCTTAGAGTAGTGGAAGCCTAGCTGGCTTTTGTACTGCTTTGTTTATTCCAGTTCCTCTGGAGGATGGCTGAGGTATTGTTGCCCCAGCAGCTGAGGCAAAGAGCACATTGTGCAGTGGTTTGTTTCAAAGCTGCTCATTAGTCCTTGCAGTCAGGACCAAAGTGACAGGTTGGAATACAAAGGTGTCTTTACACGTGCTCTGGGGTGGCAGGGTGGGGAGGGTGCTCTCAGGAGCCGCTCTAATTAGAGTATCCACACCATCTTGTGCATTCTTGGGTATTTGGCATCCCATGTTTCAAAATGGCGGTGGGGTAGCTCATTCAACAACCTGTAATTAAAGTACCCCCACTGCTATTGTGAAGCATGAGCATGCTGAATACACGTGATGCCGAGGCTGCTGGACAGTGCTAGTTAGTACGTTCCAGCAGACTCTGTAAATTAGATGGCCATTGAAGGTGTCGAGCACATGATAGGTGCCCCAAGAGTCCACTCCAGTTTGATCAATTTTGCCTTCTGTGTTTGGGGAGCTTGGCAGGGAATACAATGGGTCTATTCCTGGCAGCATGGAGCATACCTGAATACAGACATGCTCATTAGACAGAGACAGATATAAAGAGAGGGCCTCCTACCCTCCAGAATCAAAAGGCATTGAGGATGAACAGGTTTGCCAAGGTTAGTGGCAAAACTTACACTGATTCATTGGAGTCAGAAATTCATTGGAATAAGAATTTGTTCCCTGAAGGATTGAGTGATGCTCTGGTTTACTTGAACTGTAGTTGGTACAGGAGCAAGACAAGGCAGTGCTACTGCAAGAGTCCTTTATGCTTCTCCAAACCTGGAAGTGGTTCACATTAAAATGAAGAATATATTCTTCTAACTAATACCTGGTTGGCTTTGGCTCCCAGAGACTGTTCTGGCAGCCAGGGCTCAAGGGTATCATTGACTTTCAGTGGAAGCTAAGGGGTGCTGTAGACCAACTACTGCCATGGATCCTCCTTATATTAGAACATTGATTCTCAACCTTTTTTGACTCAAAGCACCCTCAGAAAATACCAGCTTAGCTTTCACTTGTTTTTGACTACAGAAGAACAATAGCGTGGTTCTCTTGTTGCAAAGACCTTAGAAAGACCACAAGCTTAGAATGTTTTTGACACTATGGATTCATATTTTGAAATCTACCAATATAACTTGGTGTAGATGTTTGTAAACCTAACAGTACTAGTATTTTCCAGTATCCTGTGGTACCTTACAAGGATCTCATGGCATCCTGAGGTGCCAGAGCTGTCTTTGGAAATCCCTTGCAGTCGAAGGTGATTGTTTTCCATGATTGTCTTACTGTGGGTGTGAAGATGGTTGTCAAGGTGGATCCAGGATCAACAGACTCTGCTGTAATTCAGGCACATGTTTCCTTGTGGGGTGGATAGATCTGGATTCTTGGTTATATCCATGACATGCTGTTTCTGCTCCTCCCCCTTCTCTGTCTCCTGTTGTCATCATAAGGTTTCAAAGTACTGACATCCTTTCAGCAGACTCTTCCTCCATTTGGGGTAGTCCTGGGTGATAGTTTCCCATGAGTTGATGTTAATATTACATTTTTTCAAGTTGGCCTTGACATTGTTGAAGCGCTTTCTCTGCTCTCCTCTTGAGCGGATGTCTTAACTAAGCTGGAAGGTTACAACTTGTTTTAGGAATCTGGAGTCTGACATCCAGATGACATGGCCAGCCCAGTGAAGTTGATGTTGGATGATCACTGCCTCTATGCTTGTGGTGTTTGCTTGTGAGAGGATGCTAATGTTGGTGCATTTGTCTTTTCACTGGATTAGAAGGATCTTCTGCAGGGCAGCGTTGATAGTACTTCTCCAACGACTTCTGTGTCACCTTGTCCATGTTTCAGTTCCATACAGTAAGGTGAGGATCACAACTGCTTGATAAACTATGAGCTTGCTTTCAGATCTGATGTTGCAATCTTTGAACACCCATTTCCTCAGGTGTCTGAAGGCTGCAATTGCACAGTTGAGGTGATGTTGGATTTCTTCATTTATGTCAGCCTTCTGGGAGAAATGGCTTCTGAGGTATGGGAAATAGTGTTTTCCAGAGTCTCACCATGCATCTGAATTACTGGAGCTGGGGACTTCTCATTAAGAGCTTGTTGATGGAGGACCTTAATCTTCCATCACCTGAGCTATGCTAGGAGCTGACAACTGCTGGGCCAGTTACCAACCATCCTCTCAGTTATGTCATTCAAACTGGCTCCCAAGCAATGGCTGCAACAGATGCAATGCCAATGGAAGATCAACATTGAAGGATTCAAAGACCCAGTCAAGTGAGAACTCTTCCACCAGTACCTCAATGAAAAGCTGGCAAAATCCAGTCAACAACAATGGGAGAATGTTGGCAATGCTTGGGGTGCCTTCAAGTCCACCATCATCAGTGCCTGTGAAGAGACACTTGGATTCTATACCAAGAAAATTGAAGACTGGTTTGATGAGAATGACCAGGAGATCCAAGAGTTGATGGACCACAAGCATAAGACCCTTTGTGCTTGGCAGAATTACATCAACACCAAGCAAAATAAATTGAATCGCCAACAAGTCAAGGGAAAGATCCCAAGGAAGACCCATGGTATGAAGAATACATGGTGAGAAGACAAAGTGAAGGAGATTCAACATCTTGCTGTGACATCCATGAAATGCATGGTTTTTTTTCAATGCCACCAAAGCCATTTATGGTCTGAGAATTCGGGGATCAAGCCCCTTGAAATGTAAGGATGGAGGAGGCAGCATAGCTGTGCCTTATTGTAGCTGTATAGTAGGGAAGGGCAGGTTTCCTGCACTAGGGATAGGTATTTTAGAGTTTTTCCTGAACATGTTGTTGCTGATCTTCAACTATGGCTAGGGAATGCATAGTGCCCTTCTTGTGCTCCTCTGCTTCTGGGCTGAAACTGTATCGGATCCCTTTAGTGATCTAGAACAGGATGAAGGTTGCTCTAAATTAAGGTAGTTGTCAGCATTTCCTCCGGGCTAAAACAACTTTTGGATGGAAAAGATGGCGGGGAGGTCCAGACTTTTCTTTTAATGCTGATTTCTGCCAGAAGGGTCAGGGCATAGCACAGGAACCTGCTCTACCTCACTAACTCCTCTAATATTGTGTTGATTGTCATATGCCTGGATACACTGCCTTTAGGGCTGTTTGAAATATCACTATGGCATAATCCAGCCAAAGATCAGAGAGATGTTTTTAACTATAAGTGAATAGCAGTTGAATGGGACATGACAAAGAGGAACCCTCCACACTGAAGTTGTTTCAAATAAATATATTTTTTTTCTCTGTTCTAGTGCACGTGCATTTTCTGATGAAGAGCTTCCCCAAAGAACTGGTAAGACTTTTCAGTGCACTGGAGTGCACTAATGTTAATCTCTGTTGGCATCATCATTTTAGCCTTAATTTCCACCTACAGTTTCTATTGACATCAGTGAAACTTCTGCTAGAGAATGGGTGTGTTATAAATCTTTTATAGTGAAACCCTCTTTAAAGAGTACCATTTCAAAGGATTTTCCTTATTAAAAGAAAAAATTATGGATTATCTAAGGGAACTGGATGGAATTTGATATACATGAAATAAAATGACCTGTTAGAGTGTTTTGTATCCATTGAAAACATGTAGGACTAAATCTTCAAAGAATAGTGCAAGGGGAGTATTCACAAGGTTGTGCTGTCCCTACAAAGGCTTGGATTTGTGCAAACTAATCCAGTAATTGCTCACTCACCCACAGTACAAATGCACATTGATTAAACACAGAGATTAAAATATGCATTGTGCATGCAGTCTTTTGTATGGTCATACAGTACATGCTGCTTTGAAAATGTGGTCCACTGTGAAGGGAAGCAAGAAGCCCCTTATGAATAGATATAGGATGAATTAATACATCTGTAGTAGTAAATGCTGAAGTTCCTTGCACCAAATAAGGGATTAATCACTGAATGACAAAAACTCAACATGCACCAGAGGTAAAATATATTGGAAAAGTGATTTGTTGAAAACAAATGTTTGTTCAGTGTATGCCTGCTCTCTGAACTAAATGGAAATAGATTTCACAAAACAAGGGAACTCTCTTAAATGCGTGTTGCTTTTTGTGCCCTTTTCCTTGTAATGGAACATGCAGGGTCATACTTTTCTAAATCAAACATTTTTCCATTTATTCTCATGACTTTCTTTTTTTCTGCAGAGCAACAGTTTGATGGTGGTGTGAAGCCAAAACTTAACATAAATCAAATAGCAATTACTCAGGTATGGAGGTATCAAGATATTGGATTGCATGGTCTTTTTGGACATATTTAGATGTTTTTTGGTGATTTTTTTTTTTTCATGGAACAGCTATCAAAGTTATCTGAATTCTTATAGTAAGGCTGATTGTCCACACTGGCAGCCAGTATTCCTCCTGATGACTTGATTTTGGTAGGCCCTTGCCAGTTCCTAGGAGTGCTGAGTGACTTCAACTTCCATGGAGGTCAGTGAGAATTGAGGGTTTTGAGTACCTTTCTAGATGTGCAGAGCACCTTGCAGCTTCAGATCCATAGGACCAAATCTTGTCATCCTTTCTCAGATGTAGCACCATCTGGCTGCAATGATGATTTTACCTGAACACGGGATCCAAGTTTTGTTTGTATGACTTGTACAAAAGACCTAACTAGTCTGTTAAATTCAGTGGGAAGTGTGAGGGCGCCGACTGAAGTGACATTTTGGCACGTGATCAGTCCCCTGAAAGTGCACTACAGCCATGCCCTGATAGAAGTGCACAGCTGTAAAGGGTTTAAAAAGTGCCCAATCACATGACAAATGAACCCTCATTAGATGAGGGTTCAGATGAAGGTGCTTCAAAGCAGAGCACCTTCATTAGCTTCTTTCAGTGTCTGCCTGGGAGCAGAGCTGGGCTCATGCAGCCCAGCCCAGTCCTGCCCCCAGAGCTGATTTCAGGATGGGAGAGGGCGTAGGGAGGGGAGGAAGCTTGGCTTGGGGTTTGCACAGCCTGTGCTGGAGCAGAGAGGGCAGGTAGATTAGTTACCTCCCCGCCCCCCGATCTTGCCTACAGGCTGGGCAAACTGCAGTCGGAGCTCCCTCTACTTCCTTCTCTCCCTCCCATCCTGAAGACAGCACCAGAGCTGGGGGTGCTAGGAGAAGGAGACTGCAGACATGCAGCTGGCACCAAAGTGGAAGTTGATCTCCCACCCCTCTGGACCCAACAGAGAACGTCTTTTGGGTCGGGGGTCACTATAACTCATGGTGCTTCCTGTGAAGCATCATGAGTTACAGTGGGGAGCTGCACATCTGTCAGTGCCCTGACTGTTGAACTGGCCCCAAAGATATGGAAAGGTTTGCATTTTCATAAACAGGCAGCAGTTGTGATTTAATCCTTAAGTGGTTTAATCCACTTTGTCACCACTGCTAAGGTTCCTAACCGTTCTAAATGCTTTGCATGGTAACAGAGAAGACAAGTTTTTCTTTTTCTTTATAATCCTTGTAATTTTATCATTACATTTATTGCTGGTGCGGTTGGAAGCTCTCTGACAATTCTTTCTCAATGCCACAAAAAATCTATTTGTCTTAAATCCTAAGGCAGTCTTCGTATGCCATATAAAGATCAAGTATCATATGGGCTTTTAGGACTTAGATAGGAGAGTTGATATGCCAAGTATAAAAGCAAAATAAAAATCTCTTTAAGCTAAGACAATTTTGTGGCATAACTATGGCTATGCAATGGTCTTATAAAATGGTGTTTATGACTGTGATTCAGTACTTTTATCATTTGTTTGTGATCTCAGGGGTTAAGCTCTGTTCTCCTTTACATATGTGCAACTACATAGACACTGCAGTTACATTATCCTATTCAGGAGATGTCAGGCTTGCAAACTAAAAGATCTCATTGGCCGCATCCACACAAGCAGGGGTGCACAGTTTGTGGTGTCACAAACTGCACGTGGCCAATGTTAAAATGTGTGCCGTGCTGCAAATTTGCAGTGCAGTGGCAAAACTTGCTACTGGGATTTCCTGGTAGCAAAAAAATCCCCAAACACAAAAGTAACGCAAAGCATGCAAAACAAGTGTGTACCAGCACACAGAGGCTGGGCTGTCCAGAGCAATGCTCTGGCTGCCAGTCAGGCCTCTATGTTACCTCTGCTAATCTAGCATGCCACCATGTAAAACTGCTGGGGCCAGCACAGGTGCTGGCCCCAGGCTCCAGTTCTCCCTGGCTGAAGAGCTGGGAAGAACTGGGCAAGGGCAGTTTGCCTGCTGTGGGACAATTTGTCCTACAAAAAAGTGCACATGCAGGGACATGCATTGAGGCAATTTGTGCTGCTGCAGGCATACACCCCTGCATGCCTGCCCCTGCATGCTTTGTTTGACTGTGGGATTAGGACAGTATATTTCTAATTCCTATAAAAGCACATCCAAAAACATGGAGAAAAAACCCAACACATTTTAAACACAGAAATCTGACCTTGCTGTTGTGTTTAACCATCTAAACAACATTCATTATTTAAAAACAATATTGGGCCAAATTCTGCTTGCAGTTTTACACCCATGTTATCATTCACTTTGCCAGGTGAACTGACTAATTGTTGCATAGCCTTTCAGCCTGTAGATCCAAATCCTTGGGCCAAGCTAAGTACCCTTCACAGTGCTTGAGAAGCCTGGAAAGAACTAAGAACTGTCTCCTAACAGCGCAGCTAAAAATTCTCCTGTTGAAAGGGAATCTCCTGTCTGTGTATGGCTGCTATTGCAAATCTTGCTTAACTCTTTTGTGAAGGGGATGTTCTGTGTGGGGCTGGAGATGGAAGGGACTATGGTGGAAGGGCAGTGTGTCTCAGTGATCCTGGATCAGGTGAACAGGCTGTAAGAGGCATTTCTAGTTGTTTTTAGGTACATTAGCTGTCTGGCTATGCTTGGTTGACCTGGAGGCCTGGATGGTCCCCTGCCATACCCAGAATTGCAGCTGGAAAGGTTGGTCTGAGACATCTTTGCCTCCCCAGTTCACGAGCACTGAGCATGAGCTCAGTGCAGCTGGAATCTGGATGTACTGGATGTTTTCCCTGTACTAACATTATATATTGCATTATGTGATGAAACAGTATTGTAATAACAAATTTTTTCATGATTATCTCTATATGGTTAATTAGATTGTCAACTACAACTTGAGCAGAAGAGGACAATCAGAAAGAGAATCTTGGGGGACTTTCACTCACAGCCACCACAGCCCCATAAATGTCACAATTAATGGAATTCCCTGCATTCTTTTCTGGGCCAAAAGGATAATGATTAAATTTAAAAACCACACTCAGCTGGACCTGACTGAGAAGACTTTTGGCGTTCATGCGACAGTGGATGTTGGGGATTCTAACTGCAGTGAAGACAGTGCAATGTAAGATGACATCCTACTTGCAGTGAAGTCACGGATTTGCAGGGATGCTGGTAGTCAATTGCTTAGGGCACAACCCTAGGAGGTTTGAAGCCCCAAGACCACAAGCATGCTGCGTTTTAAGCACTTCTCTTTTACACTGAGGGAAGAACTATTTTTTTTCCCTCTCTACTGGCCAATACGTGTTGAGGCAGAGTCATAGCTCTGCTTACTCTCCACTTTCCCCAGGTGTTTTTTGACACATGGCTGCAAAGCTTTCAGTCTAAGAATGTTTTTCTTATTGATGATATGCAAAATTTACAAACAAAAAAAATTACTGACATATTTATTACATAATTAAGTAATATTATCACACGTACACACACGCACAGAATCCATTGAGGGCTCTGCTCCTCCCCGTGACTTCCCCGGAGGATACATACTGCAGGGAGACCCTGAGGAGGCTGGTGTGAAAGGAGCCCAGGAATCCTGCAGGCTGGCTCTGTGTGCTCCAAGTACAAAGTCTCTGACTCATCTCCTGCACCTCCAGTTGCCCTGAAGCTGCTGTGATGTGTGCAGAGCCATGTCTTTCTGGGGTGCTGGCTGCAGCTGCCTGCTGCAAGAGGAGCCAGTGCTTGAGCCTAGCTCCAGGCAGAGCCCTGAGGGAGGTGCCCAGGCTTGGGGTACTCTGTGGGGAGCCTGCTTCCTGCTTTGGGGGTGCCCCCACCTTACAGGGCAGAGGGCTGGGACACCCACGCAGACCTCAGCAGTGCCCTGACCTTTCTGCAGTGGCTTGGGCTTCAGCATCTGTCCTCTATCCTCAGAGCATTGCTGCCTCCCAGGCCACGTTGGCAGGCTCTTTGTGTCTGCCCCCTGGAGCACTCACTCCTCCCTGTAGCAAGCTCTGCCACCCCAGGGGACACTCAGCGGATGCACACTCCACAAGGTGGACAGGAAGGAGGGGGAAACATGAGCAGAGGATAGGAACACCCCAAGCCTTGCTCCCTCTGTTTGGACATACTTCCTACCAGCCAGGCCTGCCCTTGCCTTCCCTCTCCCCACTGACAGCAAACAATGAGGAATCTCATCTCCCACACATGCAATACCCAATGTCTGCTTTCCAAAGAGCCTAGTGGGCAGCAGGGTTGCCATGTGGTCATATAAGTAAGGTGCTACTTAACAGGACAGAGGAATCACACATTAATAACAGAAAGGGGGCAAAGCACTATTGGGTATGTGATACTATACAGCAACAGCAATAATAATCCATAATTTATGTAACTCAATTATCAATTCATCATTCCCATTTTAGTTGGGAAACTGAGGCATAGAGGTATGGTGAAGTCCTCAAACAAATCAGTGGGAGAACTGGAAACAACTCTTGCTTTCTCAGTGTTCCATCCACTGTACCAACACAGTGGAAATTGTTCAGGTTTCAGTAAGTGCCAGGTTAATATAGCAAAAGCCATCTATGCAACTGAGATGATATATCTGAACTAAAAGCTTGTCTCATGCTTAGTCAGAATTTGAATAGTCAATGATCTGTATTTTGAAAGGTAAATTGAAATGAGGAAAAATAATGTTAGTTTTAATAAAAATGCATTTCAAAATAATCTGCCATTAGAGAGATGGTAGTTTAATAAACACATGCAAATCAGGCAGACTGCTATGTGCTCCACACCTTCCTTGCTAACCCTTGGTAGGACTTTTACCACTCCCCACTCATTATATTAATAGAAACCTATCCTTTGTTTTTAGATAAACCTTTAGGTGCTTCACACTGCCTAACCAGCATAGTTCAGTTGAAATCAGAACCAAAGACCAGGGCCCACAGGTGTCTGGCTTAAATTACTGTATTACATACATACATACATAGTTATTCCTGTGTTTATATGCTCTGAGTTCTGGCTCAGGCATCATATTTAAAGTGAAGTTTGCCTCTGTCCTGCCATTTGATATGTATAGTTGTAACTTAAGCAAGTAAAGGTTTGAAACCAGCATCCTTGCTTAGTGGATCTAATTTCAGACAAGCAAAATGTAAGTGATTTTTGAAGAGCAAAACTCTCAGGTTTTTAACTCATATGAAATTGTCTAGTTGTGTTTTTAATTTCTCTCAGACTTAAGGTCTAAAGTTACATAGGTGTGTCCCTCCCTGCCCCTCCCTGTGGTAACCTCCAGCTGTTTATGTAGATGGGACCTGCACTATGTAGAACTTTTAAGTGTGTGAAGTATTTCTGTTTTGAAGTCCAAGCTTCATTCAAGTCAACCGCAAAAGTATCCTTGACTTGAATGGAATTGCAATTTCACTCTTTAACATTGACTCTAAGGGGACCTGAATTGAAATATTCTGCACTCTAATAATGTTTTGATCATTTGATATATAGATTTGCCCTATTTCTAATTTGACATTGGTTTTATTTTTGACTCAGGCTTTCACTCAAGTTTGGTGACATTGACAATCTGAAAGATCTTGTTATTAGGTAGGTGTACAAGATAAGATTTAAAAATTTATTAGATTAGCAAATGCTGGTATCTTGAATGCATGGTTTTTAATTATTTTAGAAAATATTCTGCATAAGCAAGAATTTTGAATCAGACTTTTTAATTATATAGGAAAACATATCAAAGACAGTCCCATAGGGTCCACATATGTAATATGAATTTTTTCCTTTACTTGTATATTGTTTCATTTTTGGAAAAGATCAGGCCATTTTTTAAAGTAGAATGTTTCCTTTTTTCCTTAAATTGATGGTGGTGTACTCTCAGACATAAGACTCAGGCCTCCTTCATGTCTCCTTCCTTGTCAATCCAGGAAGTAGATGCTGCCTGCCAAATAACAGGTGTATGTGACCTGTGTTTAAGCAAGATGTGTCCAGGCTTGAGCTGAGTATCCATATGATAGTAGGCTGTAAACTTCATCCTTGCACACCAGATTTTCTCCTGACTGCTTGTCTTGCTCACTTACTGTGCCTTGTTTAAAATTTAGGCCATATATTCCTTAGGGTATGGAATATTTCTTTGTATCTTCTATGAAGCATCTGGCACATTCTGGGAAACTATAAAATAATACGTAGCAAAATGTGTGGAGAAGTAACTATTACCTACAAATGTATAATACAAAAAAGATTATACTACCCATGTAAATCATTGGTATTTTATCTTTTAATAGTTTTATGAATATAGAAAACTTAACAAGTAAAACACTTTGTAAATTTACAGTCCAAAGAACAGATGTCCTTCCAGGTCAATGGAATTCATTTTATTGACTTCTATGGGCTCTGGAAGGAGATTGTGTGAGGTGTTAAGAGTCTCTCAGATCCTTGCAGGACTGAGTCCTAAAGAAGGCAAGATCTACATTGCTGTATGAATCTTGATGTATCTTTAAGCTGCCACCTGAAAAAATTCTCACATCCAAGATGTGAATAAATTGGAAAATATCACAATACCACTAGAACACATTTCTATTACATACATTTTTTCCAAGCAGTGTAATTTTTTTCTATCCCAACCAGCTTTTTGAAACAATTTCCCTCCTACCAGTCAACTGCCTAGGAAGCCTGTAATCTGTAACAGCAGGAGGCAGGTTGATTGGATAGTATTTCTCTAATGCTACTCATAAAGAGATGATCAGAAATGTGCAGTACCTGGGTGAGCACCTTACTGTGCCTGGAACCGTTCCTGTGAGAGAACCAGTCACCGTGAGCTGTAGAAATCAGGAGTCTAGAATTATCTTTCAGACTCACTTTTCCTATACAGTGACAGAAAGAGCCAGATGCTCACCTGGTATAAATAGGCATGGCTCTATTAACTTGAGCATGTCCTATAAGGCTCTTTTATACATGGGATTCAACAAGGCATGTTCTCACTTTTGAAACTATTTTTAATTCTCTCTTTTTCTACAATATTATTTTCAGATTCTTATTGACAAGCAGTTATTACAAGCTGTCTGTTCAGAACTGGTTTAGTTTACATAGAGTACAGCTTCTTTACAATCATTCTATACAAGCAACGTTTAATGCAACCCAAATATATGCTCCAGCAAGTTATTCCTATCATTGTGAACATGTGAGTAGCTTGCAGAGATATGATGCACTCCTGATGCCCAGCTCTGCAAATGATGTATCCAGGCTTTGGGAAGTCACTTTTATCGATTTCCAGGTAATAAGATGATGTTAACAGAGAATTTTATGGGTAATTTAATAGAACTTCATTGAATAGGCAACTCTGTTCAGTGATGCCAGGAAGAGTTAATGACCTGCTTCAAGCAGCTTGGAGGATCTCCTGGGATCATGGAGCAACCTTTGAACAGAAAAAATCTAAATGGTCAAATTTAACTGCTTGTTAAATGAGAGGAGATGCAGAATTGTTTTTTATGTAATTTTTTTTGGAGGGGTGGGGGGTCATCTATCAGTGCAACTCACAGGGGTGCCCCATTTTGCTCTACTTCTCTGGCTGGTTATGGTTCAACAGTTCTTGAGACACTTTGGCTGGGGCCAGTGTCTCAGGAACTCAAAACTGGCACCAGGAGATGCTTCAGCCCTTGCACAGATCTGTGTTCTGCTCTTCCAGCTAACAAGAATTCAAGTACTCCAGAGTTCAGAATTCTGGGTCAGTTTTAGAAGTTATCCAGGAGAATTTTTATAATGGTTATTGACCTTGCAGTTGCATCTCCTCAATAGAAAAAGAAGAGACAGAAGTTAAGCCTCATGAAGGAACAGCCCTTTCAGCCAAGACTGAGCAGCAAATGGGCACTGGAGGGAAATGGGGGATACAGGGAGGGTAATGAAGAGCTGAGGAGAGAGAGAGAAGAAATATAGCGCCTTCATTTTCTAACTCACGGGGAGATGATCTTCAAAACTGAGCAGTCTGAAATAGTCCCATCTGTCTTCCCCATATACAACTGTATAGTTGATTTACTCCATATTAGAGTTGAAGTAACTCCCTCATTTATACCCATGGGTGGAATTTTCACTATAGGGGCAAAACTCAGACCACATGTGAATGCATAGAACTCGCATATTTCAAATGAATTGTATCCATTTATATCAGATCTGAAGCTACCCCTGTAAAATTAAGTAGTTAAGGCAGGCAACAGGGAGCATTTCCTTGTTTCCTTAATAGCTGTGTCCACATTAGTAAGAATTTCTGGAGAGAATTTTTTTACTCTAACCAAATAATGCTGGGAATGCTTTGTAAAACAGTATTACCAAGCACACAGTTGAATGTGATTTGACTGTCAAGTTAACCACAGGAGATTTTGTGGACAAGACTAGAATAGAACAGAGGCCAGAATAAATTCCGTGAATCAAATCCAGCCAGCCCTGCAAAATACAGTTTTTCTATATGAAAACTTTCGCTTAATATCCGTACTAGCCGGAGAAGCAAAATCATGAAGTGGTCTGTAAGTAAAACAGCAAAGATTTTTAATATAAACCCTTTTATTCTTTCTACAGATTCAAGGCTTCAATATTGAAGAAGGACATTTTGCTTATGCCAAGGATTGTGCATCCTTTTTCTCACCAGCAATTCTTATGGGGTTGGTTATGTCATTAATTCTGCTTCTGGTCCTGGCTTATGCTCTCCATATGTTGATCCACTTAAAGTCTCTTGACAGGCACTATGAATGCAAAGCCTCTCCTGCCTATTTTGGACAAATGAAAGACAGTGACATGGCAGATGAAAAAGAACCACTGAGAAACAATGGAAATGAATCCTATGAACTTAGAAACCAAGAGTTCTGTAAAATCTATATTTAGCAGTGTTTGACTGCCTCCTTCACATGGTCACTCTTTTTCTGTATTTTTTTCTGTCCTGTTTAGCTTATGCATTAGCTAAACATTTCCATCAAATGACTTAATTCAATCATTATATATACGTTATGTATCAGATTACTTGTTTAGTTATTCATTGGTCTTTATTTCTTGATCATCAGTCAATACTTTGGAAAGCAGTATGATAGAAAAGATTCCTACTGGGAGTAGGGGAATTAGTGTGGTGAGGGTCTGCTTTGATATTACACAAACAAAGCCCGTATCTTCCAAGATAGTTTACAAACCCCTGAAAAAAGGAATTTCAAATAAAGGTTTAGATGTTATATATACGGTAAAAAGATCTCATAACTCCTCCCTTCCAAAAGCAAGATTTTTCCCTCTTCTATATTCTCTATATTGGTCTAGATCAGGGGTTGGCAACATTTTTGGGCTCAACGCCAAAAACACCCACAACCTTGACTTGTAAGATGTTGGCATGCCAGGGGTGGATGGCCGGGGAGCTGCAAGGGGCCTGATCCTTACTGTGTCTGAGCAGCCCTGGTCCTCTTTCACTGTCTGCCTGGAGCTGTGCATGCACCTACCGTCAGCAACGAGTTGAGCTGGGGTTCTGCAGACCCTACTACAGCTGCTTACAGCCTCCCCATTGCCTGTTGTGAGCAGCCTGAACTCTGTGGTGGGTGGCAGGGGCCTGCCCAGAGCCCAGGCTGGCTGTGGCAGGCATCTGGGAGGCTTCAAGTGGCTGCACTGGGGTCTGTGGAGCCCCAGACTGACTTGTTGCTGGTGGCAGGTGCACATGCACCTCTGCACAGTGAGGAAAGGGGTCTGCACTGTCACAACAAGGATTGAGCCCCTGGTAACTCCCCTGCCATCCACTCCGAGGCACACATGCAAAACAAAACGCCTTTGTGTGCCATGCTCTGGTATGTGTACTAGGGGTTGATGACCACTGGTCTAAACTAATGATGCTCAACATCTTAGACCAATGGGTTGGGTACTTGCAACCTGGATACACTGTGGGAATCCACTACCCTCCAGTTGAGAAAGAGGGGAGGGAGATGGCCTGCTGCTGGGTACTCAGCTGGACTGGGTTCTTGGTAGCTACTGCCAAACTTAGGTGTGGGAATGGGTTCCTGGCCAGGTCCCAGAACCTACCTCTGGATCCCTTCTGTTATGTGCAGCCTCCAGCTCCGGCATTGTCATGGGTGGAGACTGGAGATATTGGGCAGAGCCTACAGTATTCCTGGCCCCTACCCTCTGTTATGGACAGTGGAGCCATTGCTCCCTTAGCATGGACCTACTCCAGGCAGTGGTGGTGATGGTTCTGAGGTCATAGGGATGGAAGCTCAGCCCCTCTGTGCAGAGCAGAGCTGCAGCCAGTGCAAGAATCGGGAACCTGGTGGCCACGGCCCCGGGAAGCAAGCCACAGGATATGTTTGCTTGGCCCCTAGCTAAATCTCTGAGCCCTACTGCTGTACCAAGGCTATGTAAGGAACACCTGCCCCATAACAACATCCAGTATCCTTCTTGGGCAGGGCACTTCATGCTGCTGGGGGTTACTGGGACTAGGCAGCCCAGAGCAGCAAGTCCTGGTCCCTGATTTACTGCAAATGACTGTCAATGCTGTGCATGCTGGGTGCTCATGCCCAGGGCTAGGCAGCTCAGTGGGGCTGTTGTGGCCCCTAATCCTCTCTTTCCATGCTGTGTAACCACCTTTCAGCACCGACCCCACAGCCCAACCCTTATCCCTGCGGGCTGAAGCTCGTCGAATGAGCTTTAGTTCAAGCGCGCCCACCACCATTTTTAAGCACAGGGATGCTGATACGTGAGATGCAACGGTGCTTTAATTAGAGCAGCACTTGGAGCTGCTGTAATTAAAGTGCTGCCCTGCCCCCCAACTCTGGAGCATGTGTAACAGTGTTCCTACTGCCTTAGAGTAATTAACATTGCCAATCTGAAAGTATAAGCTTTGGTGTACCAACACTCACTGCAGCTAGCATCTTCTCAGACTAAGCATGCCAGCTACCTTCCCAAAAACTGTCCCTTCACTGAGACTGATCATTCCACTTCTGATCACACCCCCCAAGTAGAAAACCAGTACCACTGAGAGGATAGTTAAATACTTCATTGTACTGAGCCATATTTGAAGTAGACAATAGCCTGGTGCCATTGTGAGTTTTTTGGTGTTTAAATTAATTTTGTTACAATGTAAAACGCCGTATTTTTAAAGGTACTTGGGCACTTGAAGATCCATGTAGGCATTTTCAAAAGCATGTAGATGCCTTCACTCCTATTTAAGTCAATGAGAATTACATCTCAGGTCCTTGATTTCAATGGAAGCTAGATATCTCCATGTCTTTGAGGGCCTAGGTCATGCTTTTGAAATCTTACTAGATATTTATCTTTACTCTTAAACACCTAAAATATCTTTAAGAATAGGTCCCTAAGTCTCACTCTTGGTGTAGCAATGGTGAACTGAAAACCCATGGCTATAGTCCCTTCACATCTCAGTTAGAGAAAATCCTGTCATTCAAATCATTTTACACAGTTACAGCACTTGCTTCTAGAATAAAAGGCATGAGTAAGCTAGATAGTACACAGTCTTACAAGGGAGTTCTTTACATTTTCTCTGTTTAGTCAAGTGACCAAGGAACCAATTACAAATAACTGATGCCAACTGAAAATTGTTTCCAACATCTTACTGCAAATGTGACATAAAGATTGAAAGATGGAGAGTAAGTTAATCTGTGGGTGCATCTACATGTCCAGTTAATGCACCTGAATTTTTTGTGCAGAAAATTCAGGTGCATTAGGGTATGCGTCTACATATGTGCCTGCATCAGGACCAAACTGAGCCCGACAGGCACAGCCTAGTCCAGGGCTGCTCTTGCCCTGCTCTGTCCCCATGAAGCAGCCAGGGGGAGCCCCAGGCTCCCCAAGGTGCCAGCCCCAAGCTGGCAGGGGGCTCAGGGGTCAAACCTGAGCTCCAAGGTAGGGGAAGCTGTCGTGGCTCAGGGGGCAACTCCCTCTTAGCTGTGTGGAGATTGGGCCAGGCCCTGAGCTCTGGGGGCAGCTGCCTTCCAGCCACATGGAGATTAGTTTAATGCACAGTAAAGCATCTTGTGTAGATGCTCCGGGTTAGACTGAACAATTTGGCAAAGTTAAAAAGCCCATTGTGAAAAATAAGTACTCTAGATTGTGAAGCTAAAAGACTTTAATGCTCCGCTGTGCTGGAGCTCTGTTTTTCCATGCTAGTGCTGTTTTTGCTGCTTCTTGATTCTTAGTCCCTCCACTGTGGTGTAAACTAAAGCATTGGGCAGAGGGGCAGTTTCAGTGTACACTGCTGACATAAGGGACCTTAGGAATCTGCCAGCACAAAGCAAGAATAGCAGAGCTTCATCCTACTGTGTCCTTCACCTCCCTTCCCTCTGCTCTCTTCCTTGGATATATCCCCATCCTTACCATGTCCAAAATCTACCTCCTGCCCTCCAACCCCACTGCCTTTCTCTTTTTTCCCCTACACTTATACAGCAAAGTTCCAACTCTAAATATACCTTGTACCATATAAGTGGTGTGAAGTGAAGTTGGCAGACTGGAGAATCTTCTCAGGCAGAAATGCAGATAAGCAACATTAACAGGCAAAGTTACAGGCAAGCTAAAATTCACAAGATAGAAGTAATAGGGATTAAAGCAGGTGCAAAAAAAAATCCCTCCCCTTTTACTTATCTTTTCTAACTCATGGCATTTGGTCTTATATAATAAGATAAAGAAGGCAAGCTGGCAGGATCTTAGTGTATACAAGAGCCCTGGTAGTAGTTCTGTTCTTTTTTTTCATGTTGGGACTCTGAGCTGGAGCCAGATGTGGTAAAGTTTGATGATTCACTGATGCTACATGCTTCCTCCAGGGCACTAGCAAGAGTAGAAAAGCCACTTTAGACAAGAGAGTTAGAAAGCTGGAGAGGGACATGAAAGATGCTTTTTAGAGTGTGAGGCTAGATCTAAGAAAGATCTAAAGAGAAGCACAAAGGAAAGAGAAACTCAGCAGCAGTACAACAGTTGCTTATTACTCTGTGGGTAGAAAAAAAGGTAGATAAGGCTGATGAAAAAAATGTGGATTTGCACAATCCAGACTGACTGGCAGAATCGGAGCATTTTGAGTGTGTTATATAAACAACTGTTATCAAAGGCACATTTTAGAGCAACAAATACATTTCATGGCTCTGCTTCTGAAGCAAAAACCCTCAGTCAAAATAAACCTGTTTCTTAAATACAGGCTGAATTGGCTCAAAAAGTATGAAACATAGGCTCATTAACAAAATATAATCTCCCTTTTGTTGTCCAGCATCTGCTTAATATTAGGTTTTTTCCTCATGAAAATGCAACATACATTAAAATAAGAACATATTATTGTAAACCAAAGCCTTGTAATATTTTTCAAGTTTAATCTATAGACCATTATTTTGTATATACTTTTCTTACCTTTGGCAGAACACAGGTTCAGATTTAGGATCCCATTCAACTGCCTTTGAACTAATGAAAAGACTCTCAATTGACTTCAGTGAACATAAGATAAAGGTCATAATACGTTCAGATGCTATGCTCAAGATCATAACGTTAACACTAAATTAAATGAGTAAAAAATGATTTCCGTCATACATTTCAACTGATTTAGTTCAATTCTTACACAAACACATTCCTATTCCAGAAATCACCAGCTATGCAAGAGGCTAAATGAGTTCAGGTGATATGTCAGATATTAAAAGCTAAGGAAAAATGATCACTTATTGTCACTGTAATTTGATGTGAATGCATAAGGAATGACCAAAGTTGAGCTTATCAGGGCAAAAATACATGGCTATAGGCCCAGTAATTATCCAATAGTACCATGCAATAGGGCTTCCTTTTATTCCTTATTACGAGAAAGACAAGGAAGGGTCATAGTTTCATAGTTGGTAGAGTCAGAAGGGACCTGAGCAGATCAAGTCCGACCCCCTGCCATGGCAGGAAGGAGTACTGGGGTCAAACGACCCCGGCAAGGTGTTCAGCTAGCCTTCTCTTAAAGACCCCCAGTGTAGGAGCCAGCACCACTTCTCTTGGGAGTTGGTTCCAGATCCTAGCCGCCCTGACTGAAGTAGCACCTCCTGATGTCTAGCCTGAATCTACCCTCTGCTAGCTTGTGACCGTTATTTCTTGTCATCGTGGTAGTGCTCGGGGGAACAGGGACTCCCCCAGTGCCTCCTGGTCCCCCCTAACTAGTTTGTAAGCGGCCACTAGATCCCCCCTCAGCCTTCTCTTGTGGAGGCTGAACAGGTTCAGGTCCCTTAGCCTCTGCTAAGTAGGGCCTGCCCTGCTGCCCCCTGATTA